GAAAGACACAAAGTGGAGTATATCCCATAACACCAGATAATGGACAAAATTTCCAAGTAATGTTTAATTGTATTTATACTTTATAATTATACACTATTGGATCACAGGTATACTGTGATATGGAGACTGATGGTGGTGGATGGACTGTATTTCAGAGGAGACAAGATGGATCTGTTGATTTCTATAGATACTGGACTGACTATGAGAATGGATTTGGTGACCTTACTGGTGAGTTTTGGTTAGGATTGAGCAAGATTCATCGTCTTACTAAAGAAGGATCAAACACACTAAGAGTGGACCTGGGAGACTTTGGGGGGAACACAAGATATGCTAACTACTCTACATTTAATGTTAGTGATGGTAGTACTGAATATATACTAACAGTAGAAGGATACTCTGGTACTGCTGGGGATAGTTTAATAAGTCCTCATAATGGCAAGAAATTCAGTACAAGAGATAATGATAATGATGGATATTCAGGTAACTGTCCTAAACTAGGCAATGGTGCCTGGTGGTATAATAACTGCTATCGTTCCAATCTTAATGGTCGTTATTTTAAGACTATAACTAGTGGTAATCCAGCAATTAATTGGATATCATGGAAAGACCAAGGTCTCAAGTTCACAGAGATTAAAACTCGTCGTAGCAATTAAATACTGTCCCCCACACACATAAGTGTGTTTACATTGTGCTGATATATTATTATGCCATTTCAATAAGCTGCCATACCTTGTAGTGATTTTTGCTGACTTTTATTAATTATAATAAAATTATATGCTGCAAATGGTTATAAAGAGCAACAGAGACAGATAATTAGAGCAATAACAAAAATCATGATAAATAATTTGGTAAAAATTTCAGGAAATGCTAACAAAAATTAACTATACAAAACTTATTCCTACTACAACCCAAACATCACTTAAGTAATTGATAACGAAAAATTGCTGACGGAAATAATAATACATTTATATGACAATTGAAACATTATGGTCCAATCTTAAAACAACAATACTCCTCCACAAATGGTATCACTATTATTAGTAAAAACACAATGAGATATTACTATTACAGTACATGAATATTGATAATATGAGTATCATACAATGTACAGTCACTACAGTCACAACAATTAAGAACAATAAATAATTAGTGTTAGAAATAAGTGATACACAGCATTTCATGACTGAATAATCATGTGAAGCTTCTCATTAATGAACTATTTATTTATTAATAATATAATAACTTGACATTTGATTACTATTACATTTGTTTGTATGTACATGTACGTCAGGGCGTGTTGAGGGGTGGAGCCTCATTCTCCTAATACTATTACATATCTATACTCCCACAATCATTGGGAAGGACTCACTCATTATAAAAGAAGGACACTGTCCCTCTCTCTCTACCTCACTTCTACTCTCTTTTAATTTTACTTTATTGAAGCTAAAGGATCTTTAGTATCATGATTGCTACTAAACTGATGTACAGTTTAATGAT